TTGGGGCTGCTGGACAGGTAGCCTGGCCCGCACCCTGCTATGGCCTTGCCTTGCACAGTGCTGGGTGAGTGTGTCGTTTTCCATCCTGTTTTCACTGCTCCTCAATGGCCAGCCTCCAAAGTAACAAGACAGCTACAAATGTTCTTTGTCCTATTTCTTGTTTCCTTAGGAAATAAATGTTTGGGAGGTGTCTTGTGCCTGGGTAAGTTATCAGTAGATTCCAGGGGGACTGGAAGGACAGTACAGCAGAATACAGAGAGGACCATAGAACAGATGTAGGATGACAGTCATGGCTTAGACCCACACTGCCCAGTGCCCATAGAACCAGAGCCATGGGCTCTTGTTCAACTAGAGAGTAGTCACCCTCAAGAGAGAAGATGAGGGTTAAGGGTGTAGCATAGTATAGACCACTTGCATACCATGTGAAAGGCCCCACACTGCAAAAAAAGATTTTTATGTATTTGATACAGAGTCTCACTACACAACTGGACTCATAGTCAGCCTCCTATTTTCAGCCTCCTCAGTGCTGGGATTACAGGTGTGTGCACCACCACTCCCAGGTTTGGCTCAGTGTGCCCGGTGGTGCCGGGAATGGAACCCCAGTCCCTGTACTTGCCCAAGCAGGTGCTTAATCCGCTGAGCGATCTTGCCAGCTCCCAAAAACAATGTTGTTTTCCTAATAATTTTGTCATTTCTACCTATGGTCAGTATTTTTAAATTATTACGATGTTTCACATTCTCTTTTCTCATTCTAATCTTTGAGAGCCAAGCTGCGCTTTGCTCTTCCTGTGCCTCTCAACCTCCGCTGAGGTGGCCCAGCCCAGGCAAGGCGGCCACGCTGCAGCCCACCTCTCTGGATTGTCCAGCGGCAGCTGGTTTATATTCAATTCTCCAGGCCTCCATGTCTCTTTTTGGAATGGGGGAGCCAGGTTGGAGATCAAAAACTCCTCTTCATCCTCTTCTTCATCCGATTTTCACAGCTCGGAATAGGAAACCATGACAAATCAGGACACACAAGTATCCCAAGGGCAGCATAACCTCCTCATCCGTAAAACAGGAATCAGTAGATGTGACCCCAATCCGTGTGTGGGTGAACGTGTGGTGTCAGGGAAGTTTGTGCTTTGGGGAGGTAGAGGAAGGAGAAGCAGAGTGTTGTGGGATCCTCATTAGGGTTATAACTGACAGAGGGGAGCACTCAGAATCCACACTGAGCCCCGGGGCTGGATACATCCCCATTCAACGTCTCTTAACCCCATCCACCTTATCTGTCTGCAAGATAGGGATAAAAATGGCACTGAATTCATAGTGACTCTAAGAACTAAAAAAGACACCCATGCAGAGGGCTTGGCACCAGGCTGAGCACACAGTCAATCCTCAACTGCTCAGAAATGCTGACATTCTTGGCACTCTGCTTGCAGAAATGAGGCCCCGCTGAGGAGTGGCACACCCAAGGTCATGCAGCGAGGAAGTGGCCTCAGCCGCTGGCCTATCTTGGTTCCTTTCTTCTCACTGGCAGTCATCCCCGATGGCCACTAATTTCCTTGCAGCAAGGTAAATAAAAGAAATAGACTTGGAACCGCTCGAGTATTCAAAAGAGGCTCAAGTCCGATTATTGTTTCCATGGGGTGTACTTTGGCACGCACGCTCGTGAGACTTGCTTCAGATCCCAGCTCCAAAGGGTGCAGGCTGGGCTGGCAGGCTGTTCTGCCCGCTTCTGTCTCCCTGTAGACACACCCACCCACAACCAGGGTGCGGTTCCACAGAGTGATTTCCAGGGACGGGTCCCTTTCTGGATGATGCAGAACATGCATTTAGTGGAACACTGGCGAAGCAAAAAGGGCACCGAATCAAAACGGAGGCAGCCCAAATCATGAGGTGTTACATAACAATAACAGGCAGCCACGTTGTAGAACATTTACTCTGATACTGCAAAGTTCTCTGCATTCACTTATTTCACTGACCCCTTCCTGCTACTCAGGGAGATGGCTTTTGATGAATGACCCCATCTTGCAGATGAGAAAACTTACATTCAGAGCAAATAAAGAACTCACTCAGAAACACATTGATAGAGGCAAGAAGGACCCTAAAAAGCTTCTAGGGGTGAAAGAATGGCCTGAGCAGGCTCATGGAAACTGGATCCACAAGTCAGGAGAAATGTATGTCCCTGCCACAGCCTAATTTAGGGATCTGCCCAATGGGAACAATTGAACCTGACCCCAGACAGGACAAGGAAAAAAATAATTGTGGGTGAGGATGTTGTTTGCAAAAGAAAAAGAGAGAGAGACAAGGTATTGTGGAATTGTTAAGACTATGATTGACAGTGGAAAGTGTTGAGAATCTATAGGTCAGACGTGTGTGTGTGCTTGTGCGTGTGTGTGTGTGTGTGTGTGTATCTCGTTTCCCTGGCTCTTCTAAGGTCTAAGAGGGAAATCACACCCATTTCCCAAGCACCAGCCAAGAGCCCTGCCTCATTGTAGCAGGCGCAAGAGAGAACAGCAGAGAGAGAGAAAGAGAGACCGAGACAGAGACAGAAACAGACAGGCAGGCAGACAGACCACCAAAAAAGAAAGGGTTCCAGAAATGTGGCACATGGGTGGGGCACTGTAGATTATTTGCTTTGGTTCTCTTTTCTTTCTTCTTAAACAAAATACACCAAAGTCCAGTCTCTGTCCCTTGCTAAGCTCTGGCCCACGCCAGCATCCGGAAGAAAAGAGCATGAGGTCTTTGCACCCCCAAGAATCCAATCTTCAGCTCTTTTCTTCCATGAAAAAGTGGAGCCCAGAGCCAAACGTGGACACCTGAGAGAGCTCTAGACATCCCAGCTGTCTCCAATCCTGACTAAGCAATGAGCAGCCTGGGCTCCGTCCCCAGAAAAGAGGGGCTCAGGGAGAGTTCAGGAAGCAAAGCGAAGTGGGTTGCCCCTCCCTAGTGAACCAAGGCACAGCGGTCCAAGGGGTTCTCCCTGCACGCTAGAGCCTCAGAAGCAAGATGCTGAGAGACACTCAGCCGGCTGATACTCTGGCCACGCACAGCAGAGAAATGACACAGTGTGAGAGCGCTGCTCGGATACACAGAGAGAAACACACACACACACACACACACACACACACACACACACACACACACACAGTGATGCCAGATGGAGACTGCAGGCCGGGCTGGGCCCAGGGATGCGTTACTCCCGCACCCACACAGAGGGGCTGGTGCGGTTACGTAATGCAAGCTGCCAAGATGCTAACCGCCCTCCCTTGAGAGGATCTAAGGGCAGCAACTCCTTTAGGGGGTGGGGAGGGATCTCAGCCTCTACCTCGTGTTCTCAGAGGCACTAGGAGCTTGTCAGCTGCCTCAGCCCTGGGGTGACCCCCAGGAAGTCACTAAAAGGGAAACGAAAGAGTATCAGTTTGTTAGTGGTGACAGATGGGGGCTCCCCCCTTTGCTGGAGCTGGCGGCGATGCTCACAGGAACGGATGTGGGACAGAGATGGAACTGAGACTTGGAGGGAGGGAACAGAAAGAGACGAGGAGCTTCCTGGATGTCCCCCACCTCCACTCCCAGCCAGTCACAGCTCTCCTGCCCCAGCCCAGATGGGCCAGATGCTCCAGAGCCACCCGTGTGTCAGCTCCCTGTGCAAATGCCTCTCTTGGACCTGGGAGTCTCCAACAGGGGACCTCTGGTGGCCTCAGGTATCCTGGCCACACCCCAGATCCCTGACTTGGGGGATTAATGACTCAAAAACTAATCACATTTTGGGAAGCAAAGTTAGGAGTCAAGAAAATAACGATGCTATAAAATTTTAATAACTAGTGTACAAGTTTCAAGGCTCAAGAGTGGAGCTGACTCAATTCCAAATCTTCCTTCTGTCATTCTTCGCTGGATGACCTTGGACAAGGAAGCGAACTTTCCCAAGCCCTGGTCTCCATGTCTATGGAGGGGTTACTGTAAAGATCAAAGGGGAAGAAAATATGAGTGTAAGTGTTCAATAGCTGTTTGCTTTTTGTCATTTTTTAATTCTTCAATCAACAAATAAGCCCTGAAGGGGCTAGCCTGATAGCGCAGTGGACTAAAGCGCCTGCTTAGGCAGAGTGCAGTGGCCAGGGTTCGATCCCCTGCAGCATGTCATGCCAGCCCCGCCCCCCCAGGGTGCACTGAGATGGTGATTGAGACTGGGGGTGGTGGTGTGCACCTGTAATCCCAGGGCTTGGGAGGCTGAAAAACAGGAAGGATCACTACAAGTCCGATCTCCCCAGTGAGACCCTGTAGACCCTATATCCCCTATACTAAATGCAAAAATAAATAAGCCCTGAGAACCTACTATGTGCCTATGTTAACCCTACAGGTGTGAAGTTACATCTTCCTAATGTTTTTCCATCAGGGTCTCAGGTAATTTGTGGGGTACAAATGTCTTCCACAGTTTATATGGACCCATCTCTTCAGTGTTGATGTTTGTAGTGTGGCTAAGGCTATATTTTTGAACTTGAAACAAGCTAGTCATGGTCATGAAGGCAAACTGACATCTTTATCCATGGAACCATGCAAGGAGTCATCACTCTTCCAAGTAGTTGTCATGGGAGTCATGGGGGTGGCCAGAATGGGGAGCCCAAAGATCCATGCCATCTGAGTTCCTGAGCCATGAACAGAAAACATTTCTTTTAGGCCGTGTGACAAATTGCTGTAGTGACTTTTGCAGTGGGGAAGAGATAAGAAATGTCTTCGGATGTTAACATTTGCTTTCCAGGGCTGACTGTCCACTATTTCCCAGAGAGACCCTTTGGTGTCTAAGGGCTGTGATCACAGAGATGAGCCAGGCAGTCTTCAGCTCACTGGGAATGGTGTCCCCTCGAGGAAGAAGGATTTTGTTTCCAGGTCGGTGTCAAAACTTTCAGGTGTCGTGTGACTCCGTGCATCAGGTGACTGCATTTCTAGGTGTTGCTGGATATATTACTTCAGTCCCTCTCTTTTTTACCTCTTCTTTTCCTCCCCTCCCTTTTCTTTCTTTTCAGCTCCCCGAGTCTCAGCTCTCATCTCCATCTAACGGGCCAGTGACCAGGATGCCAAGAGAATTGTCCACATTCATCCTGCGTCACTGCTAGACACATCTACGAGACACTCCTCCTCCTCTCCCTCCTCCTCCTCCTCCTCCTCCCCAGTCTGCTTGACCTGTTGCTTAGGGACACTGGACACGTCCAACCACTTCTCCTGACATCTGCCTAATCAACCATCACTTCCTGGAGGACAGAAAGGAGTCAGACGCATGAAATCATGCCACCAATGGCCAAATGGCAGTGAGTGGTGATGCTTAGTTGACGTCAAAGACGGAACACTGAAACGTCTGCAGCCCCCACCTCCCCGGCTCTTCTCCTAGCACAACCTGGAGCCCAGCTCCTTCTGGGAAATCATCTCGCCCTGAAACATTCTGAGGTCTTCAGACGGGACTTCTGGACAGCAGACACCATGGAAGATCACACATTCGGTGTTCAGCAGATCCAACCCAATGTCATTTCTGTCCGCCTCTTCAAGCGCAAAGTCGGGGGCCTGGGATTCCTGGTAAAGGAGCGGGTCAGCAAGCCACCTGTGATCATCTCTGATCTGATTCGAGGAGGGGCCGCGGAGCAGAGTGGCCTCATCCAGGCTGGAGACATCATTCTTGCTGTCAATGGCCGACCCTTGGTGGACTTGAGCTATGACAGTGCCCTTGAGGTGCTCAGGGGCATCGCCTCTGAGACCCATGTGGTCCTCATCCTGCGGGGCCCTGAGGGTTTTACGACGCACCTGGAGACCACCTTTACCGGAGATGGGACCCCCAAGACCATCCGAGTGACACAGCCCCTGGGAGCCCCCACCAAAGCCGTCGATCTGTCCCACCAACCTTCGGATGGCAAAGAGCAGCCTGTGGCAGTGGATGGAGCCGTGGGTACTGGGAACGGGCCCCAGCATGCCCAGGACAGTGGGCAGGAAGCCAACTTGCTCTCTCACACCAACGGCCTGGCACCCCGCACCCCAGGCCAGGACCCCTCCAAGAAAAGTGCCAAAATTGGTCTCCAGGGCAGCAGAGAGCCCAACGAACTGCTCAGAGAGATAGAGCCTGTGCTGAGCCTCCTTTCCAGTGGAAGCAGCAGAGGAGCACTTGCCAAGGCAGAGATGAAAGACTCCGGAGTCCAGGTGGACAGGTAAGCCCTGCAGGTGTGTGCATGCACCTGTGTATCTATGTGCGCATGCGCACAGAGAGCCGAGCCCGCCCACAAGTTTACACACATGCGCAATCACACACCTTCCTCAAGTCTCATCATGAAAGGCAGACAGGGGGTACTAGCTCTTACCATGAACACGGAGCTAATTAATGATCATGGAATGGGACATTGTGCCTCCATCTTTATCCTACGTAACTCTCCAGGTCCCCCAGAAGGTGGTAATGCTTGTGGTCCACATCTCACGTGTGATGAGACAAAGGCTAGGGTAGGGTGGGGGTATCCTGAGGTCCCCGTGAGGAGGAGAGGTACAAGCGCACTCAGGGATGTGGTTCGTGCCAAGGCTGCGGGAAGAGGGGATGAGCCAAGCTCTAGCCTGCACATGCATCCTCCGCTGGCTTGAAGGCAACAAATGCTCCCAAGGAAGGGAGGCAAGTCAGAGTACGAAACTGGACCTGACTCCCCAAAGCCACAGTCTTGCTGGGATTTCGTGGGAGCTGAGGCTTGAACCTAAGGAGCTGGGTGCTAGCCCCTCTGTGTTTGGCTCTTTCTGGTTCTAGGTGGGAACTGGCAGCTGGCAGCTGGGCCAGGTGGTCAGCAACTGCTGGGCTCAGGAAACGAGAAAGACAAGTTCCCTGTACCCTCTCCTCTCTTGGTGTGGATCAGGCAATGGCCTTCCAGCTCCCTGTGATGCCCCGCTGGAGCTGTGCATACCCAGAAGGAGGCTCGGGTCTGTGGCTAACATTTCCTAAGCAACCCTTCCCTGTCCCCAGAGCATTTGGAGAGAGACCTCCAGGAAACCCTTGGGGGGCCTGGAGTAAAGTAGCTGCCCAGAGTCTGCATGATCTATTCAACAAATACTTCAGGAGAACCTACCAAGTGCCAGACACTGCTCAGGTTCCCAAAGTGCAGCGCTGCATGAAATAGATAAAGTCGCTGGCCTTGGGGAGCTTACACTGTAGCCAAGAAGAGGAACAATAAACAAGATAGCTAATATACAGTGTGTCGGATATTTGCTGAAGAGATGGAGCACAGAAGGGTATCAGAGGCATTGAGGAGGATAGAATTTTAAATAAGCGGGGAGAAAGAATTTTAAATAAGGAAGTTAGGGCCAGTCTCACTAGGAAGGCCACATTTGAAGACATGGAGGCAATTAGGGAACCTGGCAGTTTTCTGGAGAAAGAGCATTTCAAGCAAGGGGAACATTCATTGCAGAGGTCCTGGGAAGGAATGTGCCTGGCTTGTTGAGGGAATCCCACCGGATGCAGTCCTCCCTGTGATGAGGCCACTCCACAGGTGTCCCTTGGAGGCCTTTGGTCTTTGGCAGCCTGCTTCAGCCCACCCTTGCCTCCCAGGGTTTCCCTGGCTTCTCCCATGTGGCAGAAACTGAGCCCATTCAGCACAAACACAGAGTTCCCCATGTAGGCAAACCAAGGTGCTATCAGAGGCCCCTGGGCAGAGAGAGGGGAGCAGGGGCCCCTCGCTGCACATAGAGCCCCTGCCCTCTGGCTCCATGCCTTGCCTCCCCCCGCAAGCTCCCTGGGGCAAGCTGCGTGTACTTGGCACCTGGACAGTGGGAGGAGCCTGAGGGGAGCCTTTGGGTGGGGCAGGTGCTAGGGGGATCTCTGTGGTCCTCATTGCCCATTCCCAGACTTGCAGCTAGGATCAGCATTCAGGGTTGTCCTATTGGCAAAAATTAGGGTCCTCCCATTCACCTCTGACCAACACAGGCCAGTGCCCCATTCCCAGGGGAACTGCCACTTCTTGGGGTTCCTCAATCACTGCCCCAGCAGAAATATCCTGGACAGATCCAGAGCTAAATGCCATGCGCTTGTCTGCCAAGAGATGCCAGAAGACATCCCCAAAGACTGCCTTGGGCATGACTCTTCCACCCTCCCTGTCCCTCCTCACCACCTCTGCTGCTGTGAGCAGAGCCCCTCCCCAGGGCTGTGACTTCCAACTGCATCCACAAGCAGCAGAAAACCCTGCTTTGGAGAAAATGAGGTTTGGGAGGAAGTCAACCAAGAATGTCCAGGACACAGAGAAGCCGCTCAGATGAGCAGTTCCAAGAACAAGTGATGTTTGAGAATAATAGCACCTACTCCCCTAGCTCAGTGGCTTGTACCTGTGTTGGAATCAAAGCCCCTCTGTATGTTAACAAGTGCTTTTAGATGCCTCCTAAACCAGAAGCAATTTGGGAATCATATAACCTTCCCACCCTGGCTACTTCTTCATCATGTAACTTCCTAACTGTAATTTAGAGAGGCAGAGAACACCTAAAGCCTGAGGGGCAGCCCAGCCACTGAACTTCAACCTTGTGACCCCGCCCCAGTGGTAGGGTCAGCTGTGTGCACCTAAGCATAGGACCTGCTGCAACACGAGAGAGCGTTGTGTGCAGAAGGACACAGGTGTGTTGTTTTGGCAACTTGAATGCCACCAGCAGTGTCGCCTTGGTGACGAGATTTTCTGAAATGGTGAATAGCTCCTAATGAAACAATGGGTCCATCAATCTTTCCTTGGCTTCCCTGCTTCTGGAATGGTGGGCATGGAAAACTCAGTGTATGGGAGAAACAGAGCTGGGCTCGGAGGCCATTTGGTCCTCAGGGCCCCTTTTACTTCGGTGGGTTCGTCTCTGGCTTTGCAGCACATCCTCCACCTTGCTGTCACTTCCCCGCTCCACCCTGGGGTCCGCCCCCCAACACTATAGCCCCAACTGCCCCACACCAGCTGTCAGTCTGCCTCCTAAGGGCTGAAATAGGGACTTAATCAAACATTGATGTCTTGAATCAGGAATTGAGAGCCCCAAGAATCCAGTGTGCTTTGAATAGGTGACTCTGGGGTCAGGCAGGCAGGGGAAATTCTCATCCTCCCAGCAGCCCCTCCAGCCAGGTTCTGTCTGGGGTGGGGGTTGGCACAGGCACCCCGGGTGCTGGATGAACAGCCCCCACCTGGAGTCCCCAGCTAGTCTGAGTAACACCAAGGCTCCCTAAACCCAAAGCCCATGTCAGGTACCCCGGACGGCCTCATCTCTCCTGCTCCACAGCCCCCCTGCTTCCTGGAATCAGCTTCTACCTCCTGTTTCATCTCTCCCTGTGCTTTAGGCACTCTTATTTGGGAGGAGAAGGGATGGTTACCTGGAAAAAGCCCCACCCCTCCATTCGAGGAGGAAAGTGGGCCCAGCAGATCCTGAAGATGGGAGGCAGTAAACCTGGGGGCTTCAGGCTCCTTCTGCACGGGGAGCGGGCACTTTAAAGCACTATGTGTTGGAGCGGAGCGGATCCAGGTTGCTCAGCTTGCTGGCCTGAAGGAGGGTTCTAAAGAGGCCAAGGTCTCCGCTCCAGCCTCCATCTGGACTAGCAGGCCCAGCTCGCCCTGCATTCTAATAATCACTGCACACACGTGCGCACGGGGTGCGTGCACACACACACACACACACACACTTACAGGGCACTCAGCAACAATCTTCTTTGAGGGTCCCGTAAATGCCATGCCATAGGCAGGACGTGTGGGTTTTGCCTGTTTCCCTAAATGAGGGAACTGAGGCTCAGAGAGAGGACACCACTTGTCCAGGGTCACAGAAGCGTCAGCCCCAGGGTGCTGTCCTTGGACACAGAAGCCTCACAAAACATGTCCAGAGTAAAGGGCCGGCAGGCCAATGAATGTGGCAACAAGAACAGAAGTGAGTTTCAACCCCTAAATGGTCAGCTCAATTGTGGGAGACGGGGAAGGGGGTTCCTGGGTTTTATCATCAGTACTGCATCAGCCTCTCCCAAGCCCTCTGAGGAAGCCTGACCTCTGGCTACAGTCTTTTTATGTCAGTTGATTAGTTTTCTCTTCACAGTGCCCCACTTGCCTGACACAGAAACCAAGTCTCAGAGAGGGGCAGTCACTGGGTGCAGGCCACACAGCTAGCAAGCAACCAATCCCTCGCAGCCGGGACCCGACCAAGCCCACTTGCCCTCGGTGACTGGTAGTGCTGGCTCCCGCGCATGTGGCTGCTTGCCTCCAGGATTCTGGTGACAGTGAAGTATTTTCTCAGAGTCTGAGAGGGTAATTGAGACCCTGGGAAGTATAGTAGCCTGGCCTTCCAACATAAGGCAGAATAAGGACAAGAAGGAGGGCCTCCAAGTCACAGAAGGGCTTCCCCAGTTCCTCCCCTCACACCCTTAGAGAAGCCCAACGTGCAGCTCCTCTCCAGCTCTTTGGCTCAGCCGCAGATGGAGGTTACTGGGGGAGAGGAATTCAAGGGATCTTAACAAAAAGCCCAGCCTGCATCTGGAGTGGCTTCCCATCTACAGCTTGTACCTTCTGAGCCCTACTCTCCCCCATCCCCAGCCCCTCCTGCGAGTGAAACCCAGGGTCTGTCTTCCCACTGAGCTACATCCCCCGTGCTTTCTCTTGTTTATTTTGAGACAAGGTCTTGCCACCATGCTGAGTCGCCCAGGCTGGGCTCCTTTCTGTGATCCTCATGCCTCTGCCTTTACTCCTTCATCTCTAAATCCCTAGCTCTGAGTTTATAGCTTTACCAAAGATCAGCCTGAAGGAAGGGATGGAGGGAGGAAGAGAAAGGAAGGCTCTGCTCTGGAGGGGCAGGGAGCTAGCCCTATTTTTGCTCAGCAGGTCCAGGGCCAGTTAGGACACTGCCCTCAGAATGACACCAGCAGCATCAGCTCCAGCTTGAATCTCTCTGCTACAGTGTGTCTAAGCCACAGAACTGAATCCAATCACTCAGCCTCTACCTTAAGGCTCAGAGCACCGTTCTCTCTCACCTTGGCCATGCAGCCTGAGTGGCTTCTCTGTCCACCCCTCCCAGGCATCCTTCCTGCCCCGCACCCTTTCCATCTGAGTCCCTTCAGGCTTGGCAGGTGGGCGCCTGGCCCCGCATTCCAAGGAAGTGATGGGATCTGCAGACTCACTGCAGAAAGTGCATGACCAGGTATAATGGCACATGCCTGTGATCACAGTGACAGAGGAGGCTGAGG